AAAAAAAAAAAAATCAAGTAGACTCCACCTTATGTGAATGTTATGTACACCTCTATATACATTTTTTATGTACTTGTAGTATTTTTCAAACTGTAATATATTCTTTTTAACTATAACAGTTTTAAATTTTAATACAATAATGCATATTGGTAAAAAGAACTATTATTTGATCCTGTGCATTTGCACATGTAGAAAACACGTTTTTTGTTTGTATTTATTAATAGACTTATAATTGTATCATATAAAAATTATTACTTTTTCTTAAGTTGTTTTTATCATTCAAAATTGATTGAAAATACGTTTTTTGTTTGTATTTATTAATAGACTTATAATTGTATCATATAAAAATTATTACTTTTTCTTAAGTTGTTTTTATCATTCAAAATTGATTTAGATTTAAATTTTATTTTAACCATGTAATGTTTAAAATAATTAATATATTTGTGGCATATATTAAGAAAATTACCATAAATAAAAAAAATTATTGGTTTCTGATTTTTAGAAGAAAAAAAATGTCCATCATATTTTTCTTCCAACAATGCAACCAAATATAGCAGTTACAGCGCTGAATGTGCCAATCAACTTTGAGTTCCAAACATTAGCCGTTACACCATTGAATATTTTGCTACCAAATTTAGAATTAATTTAGTAATTGATCCAAAAAATAAATGATAGAAATATGTATATTAAGGTGTAACGGTTTTAGCAGATTAGTGAGTAGTTAATTAAGAAAAAATGTAACTCCTTTTAGAGGAAAATGAATATAGATTTTATTAAATATTTTATTAAATGCATCAGCTAGTAAAGGAATGAGAGGAGAGAGGGAGGCAAGAAGCTTACCTCATAACACTAAGCCAAACAATTACATACTATGTTAATTAAAAATAAAATCTTTGATTAAAAAGAAAATCTTTGAAATTTGAGGATAACCTTGATCAAATCTCATAACATTATATTTTTTTCTTACATCTTTTTAGTGTCAATTATTGTAATTGGGTTTAAAAAATTGATTATTAGTGACAAAATGACAAAGGAACATGAGGCAAGTGTGGAAGAATAAACAATATAGCATATCTCGTGTGCTGCGTGGGTGTATTATTTATGATTTTATAATAAAAACGTTACTTATAAAATACGCTTTTTGTAAGAGCCTATTGCATTTTCTATTTATTACTAAAATGCATAGGATTTGATAGATGCAAAAAAATTGGATATGATTTTTGGAATATTGTGATAATTGTGGGTTGAAATTGAATAATAGAATCCTCTTACTTTTCAAAGATTAATATTCTTTTTGCGGGAAGTCCAAATCGAAATAAAGACTTTTTTTTTTTTTTTTTTTGTTTTGTTTGGTCCCCAATAGTTTTGTGATAGTGAATTTTATGGATACCTACGAAGGAATCTATATGAATGTGTGAGGTCTTCATTAATGAATAGTTTATCCAAATCAATCTATAAAGGGAAATAAAAATGGGAATAAGAGAAATGTAGTAGTTAGAGATCAAATTTAATCTTTAAAATGATAAAAATTATATTTGGGACTAAAAAACATTTTCAAGTACACTAGTTTTTGAGTTAGAGAGTTGATCGGTTAGACGAGTCGATCAATCATACTTTTTTTCTTTTTGGTCAAAAATACATACTTATGCGTCGTCAAGTTGGTGAAGGAAATCAGGCGCTCGTGAGTTTGATTCGACTCATTCATTTATTAGACGGCCTGAATCAACAATAATGGCATTTTTTATATAATTTTTTATTTTTGTATATTTTGACTTATTAAATCTCGTTAAATAGTCAAAGCTCGAGTTCAGCGCAACTTAATAGGGCTCAAACCCAAGCTCAGTTATCAGGATTCAGGCGATCGAACTCGACTCGACTCGTTTACAAATTTTTAGATTGCAAATGTCATATTATTAGACATGTCCAATACGGTCATACGGTTTGGTATATGTATGTATTGTAATTGTAATTATTATTATTATTATTATTATAAGGTTACATTTTATTATTCCCTAAAAAAAATTGGTATGGCCTATTCAACAATGCTACATAAAATCTCATTAAATTGACGAGAAAAATCAAGAACTAATTACAACGCCGGTCGAATAAGCTTAATAATTAAAATATGAGTTGCATTAATGAATTTCATGTTGTAAGGAGTTTCATTGGGACTTGGGATATATTTTAAAATTAATTTTTAGGGCCATCCTATTGTTATCAAATAGCTTAATTAAAGGTAGCCTCGAGAAGAGCATAGATAAGTTGACCTTAATGTTAAAAAAAAAAAAATTGACAGAATAAGAACGACTATATATTATTTAATCTGACCCTAACATGTATAATCAAAGCTTAAAACGCTTCATAATATTCAAATAAATAGATTAATCTTTGAATAATTAAAATGCCCAAACTTGAGAAAGTTAAACGAAACGAGTTGTTTGTGAGCTCTGCTCGACTCGACTCGGCTAGTTTTATAAATGAGACGAGTTTGAGTTTGTTTAGTAAAACGAGTCAAAGAAGTCACACAAGATATAAGTATTAAATCGTGCTAGTTTTCGATTTATTTTTGCATCTCAATAAATCCCAAATTACTAAAACAATATTTTTTTCCCCTTCTACCCTTGCTCACATATCACACTTCTGATATGATAAATTATTTTATTAATTTTAGTTAGGAACAGAGATCACTATTATATGTAATTAGTCAACAGAAGTAGGAGGCTAAATTTGGATAATGATAAACTAATATTGTGTCCATGTGAGATCACGTCTTCACACACACACACACACACACACACACACACACACACACACACACACACACACACACACACTATGCATATACTGATATACATTCTGGGCCATCCTATATAAAATATGGGCCTACATTAAATCACCACAATCGTTTATTTAAATTAAGAAGGAAAAAAACCACGAAGTTTCATTTAATTGCAAAATGATCACAACAATTTTTCAAATTATAAAACTACCCTGCCAAATAATGTACTGCAGAGTGCAATCACCTCCAAGATGCAGCATGCAGGGAGCTATATGTAAATAGAAACAACTATCAAAGTAAAATTTGCATTATTCTGGCAATTAGTGCTTCTAATTGGACTTTATGCTCAATGTTATAAATTATTTAATTTTTTTCAGTTAATCAACATATGTTGTTCCATAATGAAAGAGTGGTCCCAAGATGACTAAACCATTTTGGTGATTTACAAAGATAAAATAAAAAATCAAGAATAGTCAAATTCGGAAAATATACTATTAAATGGGAAGCAAGGTGCACGAGACATTAAAGAATGTGCTACATTTGAACCATTCATGTAAAAAATGCTGCAAAACGTTTGTTGTTAGTAGAGCTATAAACCAACCGGCTACTAGAGCTTTAAACGAGCGAAGCCAAATTAAACTTCAGCTCCTAATACTCGAGCTCGGGATCAAGTCTTGTCGAGTTGAGCCAACACCGACTCGTTAAGTTAATTAATGAGTTGGTAAACTAGCTTGAGTTGACTCGTTTAATTGTCGAGTTTCGTTTAATTGCTCGGGCCAAAGTAAAGTAAATTGTATGGTTCAACAACACAAGTAAAAAGAGCATTTTGTGAAAGATATACTGTTAGTTCATTGTAATTTGACACAACTTAAAGGACTTTTTTTCTTACTATTTAGGTAATGAACACCAAAATTATTCATTTTCTGGCTGCAGACAAAGAAGCTTTGCAAGTATACACCATGCTAGCAATTTGTATTGGTCAAAATACACAACACAAGCTCCTCTTAAGCCACAATGCAGATAATGAGTAATTTTTGTTATTTATTCATTTAAAACATAAAACTGTAACTAAAAAAAAAACAGATCAATGGGCTCGTACGACTAGCCCGTTCACTTATCAACCCTCCAAATACGACCCGTTTTCTTCCTTTGTGATCTCACCGGAAGATTGAATCCCGGAAGAACTCTCACTGTTTCCACCCGATTCGGATATTTTCGTAACTCTCTGCAACTCATCGGTTATTTCCGTGGGCTGACCAGCCAGCAGTTGTTCGTCGGTCAAAACCGAGGACTTTTTCGGCTGTCGTATGGCGGCGGCCGCCTCGGGCATGACAACTGGCGGAGGCTGGGGTGGGACCCACGCCTCCTTTTTAACGGGCATTTCGCTTGCCGGGCCTGTTTTCAACTCGTTGCCAGTTTCCATTTCTGTGATTATTGGGCTCTGGTTTTGTTGCCACCAAGGGGTATTTTCTGTTGGGCCTGAGGTGTTCTCTTGAGACGGGTAATAAGGGTTGAAAGAGCTGTTGTTCTGGGTTTGATTCGAATCCCATGGCTGTTGTAAACGAGTAGTTTGTGTTAGTGAGATTGTCTATTCAGTTTGTGTTAGTGAGATTGTCTATTCGTGTGTTTGTGATTTAATAAACTAGATTTTACCAAGTGTAAATAAATTCGAGCAATTGGATGAAAAAAAGTTTTGACAGCAAACCTTTGGCCTTGGTGCTACTCGAGGATTTGATACGGGTTGATTTGGGTTAGGTGGTGCATCATTGATCTCCTGGAAAAAGAAAATTGGAAAAAAAAAAAATTACATAACCATAAGAAAGACAAATCCTCACAATATCACTCTATGGTATATATATAAGCTGCTTTTTCCTCAAAATTTAGGCACACCTATAAAACAGTTACAAGTAGGTAAAAATGGGTGGGTGAAGTCAACTTTTTAAGTTTCCAAGTGAAACACAAAGGCTATGTTTGGTAAAACTAACTAATAAGTTAGCTTATAGCTTATAAGTGATTTTCGAGCTTATAGATTAGAGTTTACAACTTATAACTGAAAAGCAAGGAAATAAATAGCTCGCTAAAGTTGCCGCTATTTGAGAAATAACTTTTTTTGGCAGCGTGCAGCTATTTGTATTCATGTGCAATTTAGCCGCTAAATCTCCGCTATAGCTACAGTGCCATAAACGTTTTAACCCGCTATTTAAAACCTTGCTGAAAAGCAAGCTTTTCAGCAAGCTTATATGATAAAAGTGTTTGGTAAAATTAGCTAAATAAACTAGTTGAAACAAAATTTCAACGAGCTTATTGGAAAAATTATCCAAAGAAGCTTATGAGATAAGTTTGAGCTTTTTAAAAAAGTTTGTCTTACAAAACGAAGCTTATTTGAATACAGGAAGTTATAAGCTAACTAAATAAGCTAAATAAGCTATAAGGCTTATCTGGTCCAAACATAGCCTAAACTTGTTACTTTGCTACCCAAAATCTTCTTTGAAGTCTTCCAGTATTCAATTAGTTCATCACAGTTCTTTAAGTACTTAATACTCAAAAATGAAATATAACTGCATAAAACCATATTTTGGGAGCGGTTCCAAGCATATAGAAGGCATACCGAAGAAACTTCAGAAGAGAATTTTAAGTCTAGGTGATCATTATCCTCAGATGCAGATTTTTTACTTATTTTCATGATACCAAATGTAACATTCATAAATGTCAGTGTCTAGAGCTTTTCATGTTAAGTTCTTAACACATACTTTTCAGTAGTATATATAAAATGAGAACAAACATCATTAATGGGAGTGGGCTAACCCTTATATTAGATGGTTTCTCCCCTCTTTGTATCATAGCCATTATCTGCAAAAAAAATAAAAAATAAAAAAGCTCCGAATATTAGACAAAAGACAAACCAACAATAAAATTTCCTTGTATGAATAAAATTAACTTAAAAACCAATCATAAAGAAGCATGATTGGGATTTTTATACAATAAATTAGACTACGTAAAAAATTAAGAGTGATTGAAATACCTCCATGTATGACTTAGGGTGAGGAGCAACAGAAGGTTCAGTAGGTGCAGGTGGAGACAAAGATCTCACTGCACAGAACACCCAGAATCAAGATTTTTCAATAGGCAACAGAATTTAAACGAGAGAAAGTCAAACAGTCGGTCAATGGGTAAACCTGAGGATGACTCAACAACATCTGCATTGCCATAGCCATTTCCATTGCCATAAAGTTGCTGAAAAATAGGAAGACAATAGTATCCACATAAGTTCAAAACCGACCCGTAGGAAATTCAAATCATCATAGAAAGTGGACTATTCTAAATAGCTCACCTTCGAACTAGTCCTTGAAACCCTCTGGTTGACCTGTTCCTCAACAGCAATTCTCCCATTCACACTTTGGCCTGACATTTGCAGTAAAAACAATATTTTCACATAAATACTAGTTTTTCATAAATTCAGTGTGTGTACACAATGAGGAAAAAAGGTTGTGGAGAAAAGTGGCGAACATGCAATAGGGAGGATCGATTAAAATACTTTTACATACATTATTGAAAGGATAATTCAAAATCAGATACTAGCATATACTAAACAATACAAAAGAGATAATGTGCATCACAAATAAAGCATCTAAAAACATCTTAAGCATCCTAACTAAGACTTAACAACATTAGAAGAATTTTGAAATTTTTACCACTTCCCAGTTTCTGTATGGCATTACTCATCGATTTCATCTCGTGAGTTTGCACACTCAACATATTGATAAGCTCCTCAAAGCATCTCTTTTCTGAGAGAAACAACAAATACAAAGGCAACCATGAGTACTACTATAAAAACCATCAATAAAGAAAATAGATTTAAGTAATAGCTGCACAACATACAACCAAAACCCATTAGCGATCTATCTACCTTCACTTTTTGCCATTAACATGTCGTGGCTTGCTCGAGCCACATCAGATGCTGCAGCTGCAGCAGCTTTTGCAGCAGCTGCAGCTTCTTCAGCTACATTTATCTTTGTAATATGTTCCTTATTCGAACCCGCTTCATCTTCTTCCAAAACAACCTTGCGAATCCAAGTCTTCAACCGGGGGATGATTGTTTTCTGACAAGTATATCCTCCGTGTAAGTAAAATTAGGTACACCAGACCAACTAACCAAAGTAAAACTTTTTTTATAATTTATATGACTGCAATAGAATAATAATAATATTAATGTTCCAACTTTAGATTTAAAAACACACATTCATAGAAAATAGAAGTTCCTATAAATCAAAATGCACCTTGAAAAGCACAACTGTTCCAGCCCCCGATGCAGCCAAAAACCCTACAGCAAAAATAGCATGATACCATTGGAATCGAGAGATTATCCCCGTTTTTGAACGGTTGACCACAGGCCCAACAGATGCAGATTGAAGCACTTGTGCTGAAGGTTGCTGTAAACCATTTGATGAAGATTTTATCTGACCATCTTCATAGAGATCATACAAAAGAAGATACACGATTTAGCAAACTTTTTTCCTTTCATAAAATGAAATAGGCCAAGTTTCAAAATCACGAACAAAGAATCAAAAGAAGAGTTAGAAAACATTGTATATTACTACCTTGACCAGTGACGACTGGCGGAGTTGTTGTAACAGCTGGGGATGGGTCCTATAATGATTTTAACAAAATCAGTTAATTCTGATAAACTTCAAGTCACACTCGGGGATTCATTTATATAAAAACACAGAGGAGAACGACATACCGGAACACGACGAAATGCTTCATCAATCTCCTCTTTCGTGAGACCCTTCCTCTCAAGAAAGGACCTTCTATACATCACAGGGGAGCCTCTAACCTTCGGGTGTGAAAGAAACTTAACGGCATTTTCTACTTGGTCTTCCCGAATCGGTTCTTTGTTCACAAACACTGAAGAGGGAGAAAACTCCTTCACACCCTCTACCTTAGTATCATTACCATCACCACTAATTGACTGTACGGCCTGTGAAACTGTAAGTCACAATGGAAAACACCATAACTCGCAAGATTTACGGCATACATATGCAGATGACATAGCCTATTCTTTTATCCTTTTTTTTTTCTTTTAATTCTTGACTCATAATCAATATGCTGCATGCACAAAATTAAGAGTTCCAAAATCCCGGAAATTGACTTCACCCCAGCAAAGAACACGACATCACAGTGGCTAATCAGTGATTAATCATCAACCGACTCTACCAGTCAACTCCAATCGAATATCCACAGAACAACAAACTCAATCTTAAACACGGAAAGAAGGAGCAATGATCGATGAAATTTAGATGAAATAAAATAGCTGAATTGAAAAGGAAACCTGGGTTTGGGGCCTTTCCGTCGCTGGAACTCGGCGGAGCATCAGACGGAGTCGCCATAGCAGGGCTTCAGCTGAATTTCGCTACTGAAAACAGAAAAAGAAAAAGAAAATTTGATTGGATACAGTGCCTAGGGAGCGACGAAGAAGGTGGATGACGTCAGGATTGCTGTAGTCCTTCCATGGTTTTCTTGCTCATCCCAAAGCAAAGCACTGAGTCACTGACCCAAGTTATGGGCTGAGCTCTGCTCTGGCCGCTAAAAAAATTGTTAATTTATCCTTCGCATATGTATTCATACAACACGCTTTTATTTAGTCACTATTTAACAGCATTTATTTATAAATATTCAAATTTTGTTAATATATAACAAGTAAAAGAAAAAAATGGTACAACTATATGGAATCATCATGGATTAATGCATTATCAATTATATTATTTTAAAACACTTATCACCCACAACATTTGTATATAATTATGATTGTTCCTACTTTTATAACACTTGTAATTATATTTTTGTTCATAGTTTTATTAATCGTAAATATCTAATAGCTCCATAACAAAACCGAGAATTTGATATAAAGTATTAGCTATACGGATTTAGTGTGGTACAAAGTTATTCATTGCAATTTAATTGATCAAACATGATTTGAAAGGTTGTTATACAAGCTTAATAATTAAACAATCATACATTTTTTAGCAAATATTCATACTTTCATAAAGAAATGCCATACTCTAAAAAAAACATAAACAGTACGAAAAAGTATGACGAGTCGACTGTCTAACGATTAGGAAATCCAACACCGAATATTTGAGCTAAAACAAAATTGTACTTGGGTAACCATGAAGTTGAAATCGTTTATCCTACTCCACAATCAGAAGCTAAACTGAAAAAAACAACACAACTTCAAATTTATGGGAAACTATTGAAACTACAAAAGCCACATTGCATCTTCGTCAGAAGAAGATTCGGACAAAATTCCTCAGGTACCTAAATGATATTCTTGTTCATTGCAGTCTCTGCAGAAGGCTTTCAACCTTAATTTTTTGTTGCCCGGGACTCAAAGACTCAGTTTTCATGATTGTATTTGCAACGAGAATCACAATCGAAGGAGAGGTAGCGTTCAACTGAACAAGTTCAAAGAAATACATTGAAAATAAGTTGACATAAACCTCAAAAAAAGCTAAACCCTTCACAAGAGCTGAGAAAACAATCGAACATACCCAAATGCGGCCGTTCAAACCAACTGCAATCTCGAAAGCAAGCTTTTTCCCAAGAGTCTCAAGAACCGGGCAAGTTGGAGAACTCAGCAACCTTAATTAGCAAGCAGCGAATTTTCAGTTTTGAATTTTAGTATCATGGCGGATAAAAATAAAAAAGTAAAAAAAAAAGTAGATTATTATTATTATTATTATTATTATTATTATTATTATTATTTTTAACTGAGAGTGATATTATTGTACATTCTTGATAGTCCAGTCGATGATTCAAATGTGAACCCTTCTTTTAGGGGGCCGTAATCTGCCGCTTTCCCAGTGGCTGTAGAGCAGAAAAAAATTTCACGACATGTTTCTTCCTTTCCACGTGACTAAAAAAGAATTTCAATATTTTGGAAAATTGAAGTCAACAATAAACTGACCATCCATGCATGATAACTCAGGGTTCATGCCAGGGTTTGCCTTAACAACACGGACATACAGCAAAGTGCCCATCTGAAGATAATAAAAATGTATCGTGAAGTAAGAACAATATACTAAGAATCTCAGATTTGTATAAAGTATAAACAAAGAAACATCATAGAAATATCAAAACACAGTTTGAAGTTCTGAAAGAAAAAAAAAAATGAATATAGGAAAGGACTCAAGGAGCAGGAAAATTGAAATTTGACTTATGATACATTGATATTTACCGGTATGAGTACAGTTCGAACTCAAATCAAGAGTATTTAAAATAGAACAGGTGAAATCAACTGTTGAAAGATCGTTATTTACCAAATAGTTTTCTTCACGGCATCTTTCTTTTTATGTTAATACTTGTATAAATATCGTGTAAGATTATAACAAGAAGAAGAGAGAAAAGGTGGGCAAAAAGAAGCGTAAATTACTAAACCAAATGTTATGCGCAGTAAAACTTCGAATTTAATTTTATTGAAACTTCGCGGGAGAGTATTTAACTCTGCTCAAGCATCAGGCTTAAGAGGAGCTACAGAGCCTAAGAAATTCTCCTAATATAAGAAATCATGTTGTCCAATGTATTTTCGACCTATCAGATATTTTGCACGACTTGTTCTGGGAACACTTAAAAATGATACATCTCTAAGAACCAAATAATAGCCATCACAATATTGCACATCATAAGAACATAAGCAGCCACTGGAGGAGTTATCTTACACATGAAAGATTTAGAGTACACATAAATTATCAACGGTGTATTAATTTTAACGTAAAAGCTGACTTGCATTGCTCACACATGCACATAATATTATTTCAGGAGCTACATAAAAGCTATTGTAGATGGAAGATATTCACCTCAAACTTTGGAATGTTCCTTCGGGTTCCACCTTCAAAAGCCAGCACGGGGAGAAATGCCAATGTGGGACCCTTTATATCCACAAGAAAATTCTGTTGTAGGTATCACACACATTAGCAAAGCTATACTGAAAACTTCTGAAAGTTCCGTCTTAAAACAGTGAAAAAGTTATATATGTAAGACATTGTCTCATAGCCAGGAGTACTTACATCTGCTTTGGCATCAACCACGATTCCAAGTACATTATCCCCGGCGCTTGGGACATACTGTTAAACAGAATGCCAGCATTAATAATGATTGAACTTATTCATCAACCGACTAAAAAAAAAGTGCACAAGTAAAAGCAGAACTTGTAAATATCAAATAGCAAGCCACTATATTATCGGTTCCTCTGTATTTTGTCAAGAATTTCTCAAAGGAACAGTAAACATTTGACTTACTCGTTTATTGGAGCTTTCTACCCAATACTTGTTTGGTTTAGAAAACCTCAGCTTTCCTGCTTTCATAACAGATATCACATCACCATCCTGCAAACATAGGACAAACACCATACCTCAGAAAGGCTGAATGCACTCTTGATTTACCATATTCTTCGGTCTTGAAACAAACTACTCTTCCTTACACCGACACATTGCATCCTGTCCCCAAAGTGATGTACTTTTATAGTCAACTTGAACATCTATTCGCAGGAGCGATTTTTCATAAAGTAACACGCCATTCTCAGAACCAAACAAAAT